CAGAAAGGTCCTGTCAGTGTATTTATATGGATGGATCCATATTTCTACTAAAAATTCAGTCTTTGGTCGAAGTTTCACCAACTTTTGAGGCTCTGACATCATCTGATGTGTGGTTACTATGACAACACAAAGATCCAGTTTATTGACTACAACTTGAGAACTGCCCAAAATGACTCTAAAATAACTTGAAGCTTCTTTTGAATAACTTAAAGTTGTCTAAAATTACTCAACATTGTCCAAAATGACAAAAAAAATGTCTAAAATAACTAAAAAACTTGTTGAAAATTGTTAAAAAAAAGACTTAAAAATGCCTAAAATGACACAATATTGTACAAAATTTGTCCAGAATGACTTGAAAATTGTCCAAAATTACTTGAAACTTCTTTTAAATAACTTAAAGTTAGTTTGAAATGACCCAACCTTGACTCAAAATTTGTCCAAAATAACTCAAAATCGGTCTCAAATAACTAAAACATTTGTTTAAACTTGTTAAAAATTAATAAATATTGCCTGAGAGGACACAATATTGTACAAAACTGATCTATAATGAGTTGAATTTTGTCCAAAAATACTCAAAATTTGTCTAAAAATGACTTGAAACCACTCAAAAATGTGTCAACTGTCATTAAATTTGCCCAAAAATACTCAAAAATTCATGAAAAATTTGTCTAAAAATGACTTGAAAATTACTCAAAATAACCAAAATGTGTGTAAACTTTTCCCAGATGTGTGAGAGTGATGACTAGCGGTGGCGGTGGCGTCGTACCATTGAGGTGAACCTGCAGCAGGTTCTTCTGCGCCTCTTTGTCCTGCAGCAGCTCTCTGAGGACTTTCTGCAGCAGCTGCAGACGACACGAACACGTCAGCATCTCAACAACCTTCTTCTGATCCATTCCTGCACGTCCACACTCACCATCGTCTTCCCGGCTCCTCGCGGGCCGACGATCAGCACCGAGTTGCTCTCCCCGTGGACGGCCGAGCGCCTCAGCAGCTCCAGCAGGTGTCTGCAGGCACACAGCGTCACTACGACTCCCACAATGCACCGGGAGCAGCCGTGCACACGCAACCGGCAGCACCTGCAGCTCCAAACTGGGTCAGCCAGGTGACGGCGAAGTGGGTCACAGCGAGCTGCTCGCTTCCCACCAAGA